CCCCCCCCCGTAGACCCCCCCTCCCCCCAGTATCCCTGATACAAGCCATTCCAATGCCGTTAAGCTGACACGCAGCCCTACAGCTGGAGACAACCACCGAACTACAGAGCAGACAAAGGCAGGCCTCCTCTCCTCACAGCCCTCCAGTCTCCCTCAGGCTCAGCCCATCCCCCCAGGCCTCACCTTGCCCTCCAGGCCCCGAATCCGTCGCAGGCCCCGGGCCTGTCCTCAGGCACTGCCGACACACCGAATGCAAGCAAGGTAATAATCGCGGTTCCCTTTCAGCTTGAAGAAGTTTCCGGCAGCTTCCGCAACGTTCTAAAAGATCGACGAGATCCGGGCGCTTCTCGGCCGGGCCCGCAGCTTCTGCAGCCTCTTCTACCGGAGCCGACATGGCGGCCGCTGCTCCCCCTCAGCCCCTCACCAGGAGGACCCAGGAGCGCGCGCGGCCTGAGGAGCCGCCAGCAGCCAATCAGCGCCCTCGAAAGGCTGAGAGGGTGGGGTGAAGGGGAGGATTGACAGCGCAGGGAAGCAATGAGAGGCGGAATAGCGTGACCCCTTTAAGAGGACTGGCCAATCGGCTCGCGGGATGGGTAGAGCTACGCGATTGAGCCAATTGAAAGACTTGCAGGGGGAAGATTGACAGGGCGTGAGCCAATCCTTTTTCTCCATGCTCTCCGCCCCTCGGCCTAATGAAGGCCTGGAAACCGAGAAGGCGGGCAGGAATGCTGCAGACCAATCAGAAATCGAACTGCCTCAGAGAAGGCGTGGGTCTGAAGATAGACGTGGAGTTTTCACCAATCACCATCCACTCTCCTCGGAAAGGCGGGAATAGATGCTCTGATTGACAGTTTCCCGAGCCAATCAGCTTTGCGAGTACCTCAGCCTCCTCTCAGCGCTCCGGAGTCACTCCGGTTCGATAGCGGGGAGGTGAGGGGGAGGGTGCGAGGAGGGGGGGAGGGCGGCTATGGGGTCGATCTGCTGGGTGGGGGAGGGCTGGGATGGGGGCAGGGCTTCGGTGGTGGGCTGGGGTTGGGGCCTGAGTGTGGGGCTGCGGCCTAAATGTAGGGTTAAGGCCTGAGTGTGGGGCTGGGGCCTGTGTGGGGTTAAGGCCTAAGTGTGGGGCT